ACTAAATCTGTATTGATTGAGATATGACATTTTTTTGTACTTTAGCTCGTTTCAATCTGTATTGTTTTTTTACTCAAAGTGCAATTGATATTTTTGTTCATTTACGTTGTTTGACAGATTTGAGAATTAATTTAATACTCCCTCCGTCCCTTTTTAGTTGTCCATATTTCCTCTTTTAGTTGTCCCTATTTAGTTGTCCATTTTGACAAAACAAGAAAGGACAACAATTTTTTTCCTATTATACCCTTATTTAAATAAAATTGTCATAAATAAAGTAAATAAACTTATAAACTTCCCATTATTGATTAGTTATCTTGAGTGAATTTATTTTGAAATTGTAAATTATACTATAAAGGTAAAATTGTAACTTCACTATGCTAATCATTGTTGCCTTAATCTGTGTGTCATTTGTAAAGTGGACAACTAAATAGGGACGGAGGGAGTAGGAGAGAGGAGAGTGAACAATTAACCACAGTAGGTTATCTACAACATTTATTTGTTATTGGGACAGGTGTTGCAATTTCAACGGCCCACTGGAAATGGAGGGATCAACTACCGGAGGTGATCCGCTCTACAAAAAGAGGAAGAAAATCGCAAGACTTTGACACTTTTCTCTTGAGAGCATAGACACTATCATGACAACCATCAACTCATAGGTCACCATAATTATTACCTCATTTAACACCTAAGTTTTTCTCTTTTCTTTTTCTCGTAGGATGTGCTCAAAATATATTTAATAAAATAAACATTGTTTTTATTTATATTTTTCTCTTCGATTCACAAAAAAATATATTTTATATATAATCTACAAAAATACAATAAAAGGTGGAAGAAGAGGTAGGGGTGTGAAAATAGGGGATACGACATAAGCGAACAAGAGTTTTTAGTTTATGAGTTTTGAATCAAAATTTATTTATACTTTTTATAAATCTGCAATTTGAATGTTAGCTCCACCCCTATGTTACGAAAATGAGTGAAGATAAAGTGTGTTAAAATAACACAATTAAATATGAAATGTTATTTGAGAACCTTTTTTTTTTTAGTTGTCAAAAATATTGACCAACCAACACGATAAAATTTAAAAAATTCGTACCAAACACATCCTAGAACTACTAAGTACACACTTTTCATCACTCCTACAAAGAACACCATTCTTTCTTCTTACTTCTGCTACTACATTTCTCTCTGCTATGAATTTCTAGCAGTTCTTGGTTCTTGCGCCATATTCAGCTAAAACAAGTAGGCACTGCCCATTTCAGTTGGCTAGTTCAATTTCAGTTTCACTGTCAAATTTGACAATGGTGTTGTTAATCATCTTCATAATTCATGTTTTCATGTTTGTAACAGCTTCGTCGGATCTTAGCTCCGACCGTGCTGCACTTTTAGCTTTTCGCTCCGCCGTGGGTGGCCGTACATTTCTCTGGAACACCACCAGTACCTCCCCATGCAACTGGGCTGGTGTACAATGTGAAAACAACCGTGTTACAGTTCTCCGGCTACCGGCGTCAGCTCTCTCCGGTACCCTTCCGGTGAACACAATTTCCAACCTCACTCGTCTTCGTACACTTAGTCTTCGTCTCAATCGCCTTTCGGGTCCTCTCCCTTCTGATCTCTCAAATTGTGTTGAGCTCCGTAACATTTATCTCCAGGGTAACTTTTTTACCGGAGCTGTTTCTTCTTCCTTCTCTGGGCTTCACTCTTTAGTTCGGTTAAATCTCGCCGAAAACAATTTTTCTGGAGAAATTCCATCTGGGTTTAACAGTTTGATCCGATTGAGAACATTTCTACTTGAGAAAAACCAGTTTTCTGGGTTTATGCCTGAGCTAAAGTTTTTCCCAAATCTCGAACAGTTTAATGTGTCTTTCAATAGATTAAATGGGTCTATTCCGAAAAGTTTGGAGGTAATGCCAGTGAGTTCTTTTACTGGGAATTCTCTATGTGGAAAGCCTATTAATGTTTGCCCAGGAAGTAAGACTCAGCCTGCTATAGCTACTGATGGAATCGAAATTGGGAATTCAAATAACAAGAAGAAGAAGCTATCTGGTGGAGCTATTTCCGGTATTGTCATTGGGTCTGTTGCTGGATTTTTCATTCTTTTGTTGATTTTGTTTGTGTTAGGTAGGATGAAAACCGGTGATAAAACAAGGTCTCTTGATGTTGAGACAATTAAGTCACCGGAAACAGAAGTTCCCGGGGAGAAACAAATTGAGAAACCCGATAATGGAGGTGTAAATAATGGGAATTCAGTTGCTGTAGCAGCACCTGCTGCTGCAGTATTGAATAGTGGTGAAGAGAATTGGGGAGAAAATGGGGTTAGGAAAAAGCTTGTGTTTTTTGGAGATTATTATAAAGCATTTGAATTGGAGGATTTGTTGAGAGCATCTGCTGAGGTTCTTGGAAAGGGGACATTTGGAACAGCTTATAAGGCAGTTTTGGAGATTGGTACAATTGTTGCGGTTAAGAGATTGAAAGATGTGGCAATATCTGAAAGGGAGTGCAAGGAGAAAATTGAAGCAGTTGGAGCAATGAATCATGAGAATTTGGTGCCTCTCAGAGCTTATTATTTCAGCAGGGAGGAAAAACTTCTTGTCTTTGACTATATGCCAATGGGAAGCTTGTCTGCTCTTCTTCATGGTAAGTTTTAGTACACTCTTTTACTGTCAATTCATGTTGTTCGGACTCTCTAAAAATGTTACCACATCTGTGCGAAATCATCAAAAAATGCACTACTTTGGAGGATTCGACACACACTCAGTGGTATGGATCCTCTAACAATACACTACCTTTTTGGAGGATCTCACATGCACTTAGCAGCATGGGTCCTCAAAATATGCACTACCTTTGGAGGATCCAACACTCAGTGGCATGGATTCTCAAAAAAAAATTCACTATTTTTGGAGGGTCCGACATGTATTGGTCGATATTTTTAATGAGTTCAAGCAACATAGCTACCAATATCTGGTGTTTTACTTGCTTTTCCCTTATTCAGTAGATGCACTATATTTGTTCCAGATTTTGACATTTTGTTAGAGTAATTAGTTTGACTTGTTGCTAACAGTGTAACATGCAATGTCTGTAGTATTTGGCCCCTCAATCCAATGAAAATGTGATCCTAGAATTAAGCATTAATTTCTTATCATTACCTTAGTCTTCATTATGTAAAGCATGCTTCTAATATAAGAAAGTATGTTAAATCTAAAGTTGTTTGTAATTAAGAGCAATAAGTAGTACTCCATTTCATTTAGTGCTTTCATTATAGCAAAAGGGTCCTTTGTTCTTTATAGATACCCTGTCCATATGCAGGGGAAAGGTGAACAAGCACACATATAATCTTTCACTTGGCCCTACAGTAGTAGGGTCTATCATTATATGTTCTTTTTCTATCTAGAGCATCTGTATAGGACTAGAATTTTGAATCTCCGAAGCTAATTATTCAACTGGTGATTAGTTTCCTGGCTTGTGAATCTTGCATGAACATGTACATTTTTCGCCTTTGGTATACTTGAAACTTGTTAAAGTGACTAAGAAGCTGTAATGAGCTGTATGCTGCAACTCTACTTTCTATTCACTACAATTTCTTTAATTTACTAGGAAGCAAGGGGGCTGGCAGAACACCATTGAATTGGGAAATCAGGTCCAATATTGCCCTCGGAATTGCACGTGGCATCGAATACCTTCACTCTCAAGGTCCTGATGTCTCCCATGGGAATATCAAATCATCCAATGTTCTTCTCACCAAATCATACGAAGCACGTGTCTCAGATTTTGGCCTGGCTAACTTGGTTGGATCGCCATCCTCCCCTACTCGAGTTGTTGGATATCGTGCTCCAGAGGTAACTGATCCTCGCAAGGTTTCCCAAAAGGCTGATGTCTATAACTTTGGAGTATTACTCTTGGAGCTTCTTACTGGAAAAGCACCTAGTCATGCCCTCTTAAATGAAGAAGGTGTTGATTTGCCAAGGTGGGTTCAATCTGTCGTTCGTGAAGAATGGCCTTCTGAAGTTTTTGATATTGAGCTCCTCAGGTACCAGACTGCTGAAGAAGAGATGGTCCAACTCTTGCAGCTAGCAATAAATTGTACAGCTCAATATCCTGATAAGCGACCTTCAATGGCTGAGATCTCTAAACAGATTGAAGAGCTTCGACGCCCAACCTCACATGATAAACAAGAACTCTCTGATCTTGCCAATGCAACAGAGTGAAGTGGTCATTATTAGTCCCCCTCGAGATGTGCAGTAATTAAGCTAAACTCAGATTCATCACCAATCTTTTTTAAGCATATTAAACTTGTTGTTTGTTGGGGGAGGGGTGTCTCATCTTCTTTCAGTTTGAATTAACTGATCATGGCCCCTTTTTCTCTATGTTTCTGTAGTAGACTAGTGGTTACCCCTTTCATTTTCCTTTAGATGAGGGGCCAAAGCCAATATCTGTACCATTTATTCTTGTTGGATGTATAATGCTTTCTGTAATTATTACTGCTTCTGCTTTTACTTTTGCTTTTTCAGTTGCAACTGTCGATGGCTATTCTGTGTGTATATGAGGCATGCATGCATGTGGTTCTTGATATGCTGAAGCCAGCAGGGAGATTGCATTGAGAGTTTTCATAGATGCTGAGTTGGCCAAATATTGTTCCCACTCGACAATTGGTCTGTGTATGCCAACTCATCATCGAGTTGTATTTTAATACAAAGAAAGTGATAATTTAAGCAAGTAATAGTAACAACAAATGATTGAGGTATGTTTGACCACTAACTCAAAAGAAATGTAGATTTATATCATCCAAGAAGAAACAGGGAATCCTTAGCAAACCACATTATGGTATCAACTCTTTGTGACAACATCAATTATTGCTGATAGATTTTAGTTGTGTTATTTTCGTTCTATATCTTTTCTTTTCCATTGTTAATAGGCAAACAGTCAAGTCTCTCTGAAAAATTGGCCAGTTCCAAGAGAGGACCAGCAGAATTAGCAGATACTTTCACAAGAGAAAAGAAACAGAATTAAGGGAATGGAAAAGAGTGATGTAAAGTTGTAAACACCAAAATTTGAGGCAACAAGTTCAATCCCTTTCAAAACAGGAGATGTGTTCTCATTGCTGTGGAGGGACAATTACAAAGCAAATCAAAAGCCTGAAGTCAAAAAACCACAAGGCATCTCATGGCCATACATGAGAACAAAAAGAGAATACACAATTGTCACACTAGATAAAACGACGATTCAAAGCACAACCTCACAGCATGAGATTCGAAAACACATCACATCCCCAGTGGTCGCGATCATGATCTTTAAGCTGCTTCTATATCTGTAAGGGAACAAAAATAGGAAAAATAGAAACCGTGAAGAGAATAGAACTATTTCTAGAAATATTGCATTAGACTTGGTTGGATACATACATTTACAAGGTATAAAGACAGGGAGATGATTGGCGGGCATTCAGTTTGTTTCTACCAGCCAAGAAACAGAAGTTTGGATACTCTCACAGGCCCGGTTAACTGGGGAGCTATACATTAGGATTTGACGGATGATCATCTTTCCAACCTTTTGTAAGCAAATCATAATTTATTGATGCAAGCTGGGAGAGATTCTGTGGAAAGAAGTGAAGAAAATTAGTCGTAGCATTGTGAGGATTAACTCATGAGACGAATAGCTTTCTAAAATCTAGTTCCATCAACTTTTTTGAGTACCGAATAAAGAGAAAAATTTGGTCAATCAAAGCAGGGAATATTATGTTGGAACAAATGAGAGACCAAAGTTAGAGGATGCAAAAATTTCATGAGTTCTTTATTAGTGCAAACTAACTTAGTAAAGTGATTTAAGAACGCAGATAATCGATTTAAGAATGCATAAACAGCTGCAGTTCCAAATGTATTATCTAGATTCAAGGCAACATCTGAATCCAATGAAACAAAAAAGGCAGCCATAACCTGACAATTTTCATGTACTCAATCAAGCCTTAAGATCTTCTAGTTCTAACAGATGTGGCTTCATCATACAAATAACATCCAGCCATCAAAAAGTAGAAAATCATGAATAGGAAGTTGTAAAGCAAAAGATTACCTTAAAAGAGAAGTTATTGAAAGGATAGTTGACAGAAGAGCCTGACTCGAATTCTCCAATACCAGCACATTCATCACCCTGCGAAATATTTCGTCGAAACTAAACCTATTTAGTAAAAAATCAATGGAGATCCGCCAAATATATTGACTTACAACATGTTAAGAGTTAACACGCCAGTCCTTTATTTTATTTTATATTTAATTCATTTTGTGGGTATAACCAACATACCAGTTCATCTTGGCGATACTCCAGACAGCTGCTACTACCACTAACACTACCATCATCGCTAGAACCCTCATATTCACTGCCTGCATATACATGTTCATCTGAAGGATTCCAAGAGAAGCGACTAGTGAAGTAACTAGTATCCAGTGCACCTTCGGATGCAGGCACAAATGCCGCCTGAGAAAAGAGTACAAACATTGATGCGACATCAATCAGTAGAAAAAACAAGATAGACCCACCTATTAATATAACAACACAACTACGCCTCAATTCCAAGCTAGGAGGGGTCGGTTATGTTTTCATGGCTCGGCGCTAGGAACCATCTGCTAGTACAGACAGTTAAATGAAAATGAATCACTTCTATGAGTAAAGTATATTGCAGCCAACCTTCTGTCTAGCAAGTGTGTCCCAGTTAATATCTCTAAAAAATGGATGCTGCTTCACCTGCATACGGATCATAGTCATTCTACAATCTATTCTCAAAATCTCAAATGAACAGATGTAAGAAGGCCCAATATTAAAGTACGTTGTGGAAAAAAACATCACCTCTGATGCTCCTCGTGCTCCAAGTCTCATATTAGGATCTTCTGTTAGTAATCTGAAATTTATCACGACAGCAGCTTTCAAAAGTTGAGGGACATAAACAAACATGTTCTACAATAGATGAGTTACAAAGAGAAGAATAGTTTGTTTATTATTACTAAAGCCTGATGATACTAATCTTTGTAGCAACACCTGAAATTCCAGAATCAATTCAGCATCAATTAATTACAGTTCAAAACCCAGCCTGCTAACATTTGGCAGAATAGATCTATTCTAAATTTATAATTGTCACCATTATCCATTTCATAGCAAGATTCTTTTTCTGTTCTATCGGGAAGGATTTGTTTTTCTTCAGATATCGATGGACGTAATGTGTACTCTTTGGAAATACAGAAGAGTTCCTGAATGGAAACAATATTAACTAAAAGCTTTTGTCAACTAATTGATGGTCATTATTAGATAACCGATTTTGGAGTATTTATAGACAAGCTTATCATTATAACTGACAATGCTTTTTCGTCAAAAGTCAACTGCATTCTAATGATCCACTGCCTCTCTCAAATTCATCAAACTAATTACTCATAACTCAAGCATGCCTACTAACATAGAGTCTCCATCTACATTTCTTTATTCCAGGAGTTAAATGAGAACTGGCTAAAAGCTGAAGGTTCTTGGAAAAAGAACTTGCCAACTGAAACTTGAGAAGATAAAAATGGGACTTGAAATAACAACCAGAATGATTCTCTTACTGGTCAATCAGATCTTGTGCGTCACCGCTCATTTCCTCAGAAACCATTGGCCAAGGTATCTTACGATTGAGAATATTATCGAATATTTTCTGAAAATGACCCCAAAAAGAAAAAAAAGAGAGAAACATGACATCAGGAGTGCTTCATAAAACAGTTACTTCATCAACATAGTAAATAAGGAGAGAAATGCTCAGATAAAGCTACTGTAAGCAAAAAAAACAAAAACATGAAGGTATCAGAATTGCAAACACTAAATTATTTAAACTTAGTGCGCATACATTTTTTATTATGGTATTAAGTGTTACATACATCAAACTGCTCGACATCAGAAAAAGAGCTAAAACTACAGATCTTGTTTTAAGCCACTCTTTTTTATTCTTTACTCAAATCAAACAATCCCATCGAAATACCAGATTTGAGTCAACATTTTCCCTTGATTCCTCTTAAATTGTGTTGACTTTACTAAAGATTCCATTTCATTGAATTGGTCGTTCACCATGTACGAGGTTGCCATCAAGAATCCGTATTCAGTGGTTTAAGCACACAGCTCATAGACTGCAGATTCACAAGTCAATTCCAATTGGTCTTGCATGTAATATCCAAAGCTATCTTAGTACCTGACTTAGTTTATACTAAAATTCTTACAGAAAAAATCTAATTAGCTTGGGATTTAGCTATAGTTGATGTTTTCAACATCGTCTTAACTCTTATAAAAAGAATGCCCAATTCTAATTTTGGGTGCATACCAGCACAACCCCTCATTGAGTCGTTTGGTATCAGCTCTGTATCAATGGAATCTCATAACCATATCAGGAATCAAGGTGGTACTACTTTTAGAGCCCGTTTGGCTTAACTTTTAAAATATAGCTTTTTAAAAGTTGTTTTTAAATAGTCAAACTTTAGTAACTTTTAAGTTAAAAAATGAAAAGTAGGGAGTATTTACTTTTAACTTTTTTTAAGTCATTTTAAACTTATTTTAAGTTACTTTTAAATTTGTCAAACACTCCCAAAAGCTAAAAATGACTTAGAAGTAGATTTGACCAACTTTTAAGTCAAGCCACACATGCTCGTAGTCATATAGCCTTCTGCATAAAAATAAAATACTTCACTCTATAATCGTCAAGTAATCCACACATGCAAAACATACGCATATAAAGAACTGTGTCACGTCCAGAAAGAGTTAGTTTGCATAAATTAGTAACTAGGATATACAAACATTAATACTTTTTTTGAAGACTTCATATTTGGTGCAGTTGCAGGGAGAGAACTTAGACACAGTACTATCTTTTAAAACATTTTAAGAGAAAAATCCTTAATATTAAGCATAAGCAACATTAGTGGCCATTTCTGTACCTCTTGGTACTTTTTTCAATAAAATATTTCCTTATCAAAAAAAGAAAGCACTAGCAACTTTAGTGACCATTTTTCTTTTACTTTTCATATACAAACTAATCTACAGCTAAATGGGTAGTGTAGTATTCCTTATGACCTGAGGGATAACAAACTACATAGAAGAATACGGACAAAACATACAAATAAGAAACAACATATTAACCTGAGGATGCTCTGCATTAAAAGGAGGAACACCAACAATCAACTCGAAGAGAATAATGCCCACGGACCACCAATCAGCCGTGAAACCTGAAAAGAATTATGTAGCCTATGATTAAGAACTAAATGAAAAACAGAAGGGTGCAAAAAATGCTCTCAAATCCAAATTGTTTTTATAAGAATGTCAGGTTAGACATATATTCAAGTTCCTATCCAAGGAAAAAAAGAACAAAGACTCAATGAAAGCATGTCCAGAATTCTAGAAAAAGCACTAATGTGGAGGGAACTCCCAATCCCGTATGCCAACTCATCCTCGCTCCCATCCGCATTCTAAGAATTTTAACATGTGTTAAGCATGAGTGCATAGTACCATATTTACTTTCTTTCACCATGGCAAATAATTTTACTGATGTGAGAAAAGGCTCACATACAAGCAGTTCACCAAAAAGTAGAGCCAACTGAAAAATATGGCTCTCCAAAACACACCATTCTTCTACGGTATGCATGAGTGCATAGTACCATATTATTACTGATGTGAGAAAAGCCTCATATAGAAGCAGTACACCATAAGTAGAGTCTACTGTAGAATATGGCTCTCCAAAACACACCCATTCTTCTATACAAACCGAGATCTCATGAGTGCACCAAAATTAAGAATAGCAAAAGTCTATTACTCAAATGTACATAGTCATTCTCTAAACTTTCAGAAAGCTCTCAGATTTCTCTCCTTCCAACCCACATGAGCTCTCATATTTCCCTTCCGTATTCTAAACACCCAACTATGTATAGTACGATATCCATTTTTATCAACCAATCCCAAGCCTTTTTAAGGCTAAGTAATTTGTTTTTTTGAGACAAAGGATTCTTTAAAACTAGAGATTATGAAACCACGCCTATCTCTATCATACAAGTTTCTGATCAGAAAGAAAAAAACTTTAGACAAAAATCAAATGTAATGCAATTGTAACAATTAAAGGTAATACAGCAAGTCTGCATTAACTATACAAACATTTTAATTGGATTGTGTTTTTGTTAACAGTTAAGTGCACATTGATTCCAAGAGATCACAAATCATTTTTATAGCGGTACCAAGAGATTGCAATTCAATTGAGACCACCTGATCTCTCACTTTACTTCTAGGCATGCTACTTGCATGCTCCATCAGATGTGATCATTTCCAATCTCGTTCAAATCTGCATGGCATTTGCACATCGATCTTAGCATTCACACCTGACATCTACGCACATGTCTCTTGGACCGACATAACTAAATCATCCTAGGATTTAGTGTCAGTTTTCCTACTAGTTCTATTTGCTGAGCATAAACACTAACAATGTTGATTGTCCCCCATCTCTCCCAATCAATCTTGATGGATCAGTCCTATCGCCTATTCTCCTTACATCTACAACTTTATCTTTTAAGTCTTGATCTGCAATGGTTTCCAGCCACGTTTCTATTATTATCTATCCCGCAATATCATTAATTATAACCAATCTCCCTAATATGTTTTCATGTACACTTAAGTCTCTTGTGGACAGGCAGTATTAACTCTTTTCCTTTTTAAGCTATCCACCAATTCTATTGGCTTTCCTGTCCTGTCAATGAGTTCCTACCCATCTGAATTGAAGTCATTTTAGCTTTCTACCCCATCTGAGATGAGGAAATTTTTTTCTATCTAGCACCACATCTAGATGATGATACTAACTATTCTGCACCCTCCACTTTCTATAGTATGAGAACCCTCCTTATAATCCCTCACAGTCACACTTGAGTGACAATGCAATGGAACTCCTCGTATATTTAAATTTACACCCAAGGAGCGATGTAGTATGTGCCTAGGTAGACATTGTCACAGCAATTCAGTATTCAGAGAATTCATCATCTTTAGATTATTTTTTACATTGACACTCAACCTACTGCAATCCTCCTTTGCTGAATTGGAAATGGTAAAGAAAAGTTTAAAAGGGATTTTTAAAAATGATAAAGGACAAGGGAAAAAGGGAATTTATTTGGCAACATTATCAAGTTGATCATTTAAAATGATTGCTTCATCTGCCAAGTTCAAAGATAATCAGCTATTCATTGTAAATGAAGATAGAAGGGTAAAAACGGATACAAACCATGCCCTGTTCCTAGAAGAATCTCAGGCGCCAAATAGTCCGGTGTACCTACTGCAGAACGTTTCTTCCGCCTTTCTTCCTGATGCTCAGATGCAGATAGCTGAGATTCATCATCTTCCATCATGGATGTTCCACTGACAGCTGGACCAGATAAATCATCTGTGCTATTGATAAGACCAACTTTAGAAAGCCCAAAGTCTGTCAACTGAACAAAATTACACAAATTAAAACTAACTCATCAGTGTGAAACCAATGTGATTTAAAGAAAAAAGCCCAAGAAAACAGGTCATCAACATGTTAAACCACCGCAAGCTCGAACAATGCCTTGAAAATGCTAGACTAGAACCTCAACAAGGAGAAACATCAATGGATACAGTCAGGGAAATTTTATTCAATGATGAGCTGCTTCGGATTGAGGCGTAGTTGTTGTATGGGCTGCTTTACAACCACGGCAAACAATAATTTGGGACATTATTTAACAAATTGCCCGTCATTATGTCAACATGAACCACGACAAACACTTCTATGATTTAAGCTTGAGGAACACATTAGCAAAAGCACCCATCACAAACCCCAAGTTAAATAGGCAAACAAATGATGGAATAGAAAAAAAGGTTGCATGTAGAAACATAGCGTCGGCAGGTTGATTTCTAAACCCCTAACACAAGCCTCAAGAAATATCTTGCCTAAACATTACATGCCCATCTATTTTTTCTATTACCTATTTGTCAATATATATTACATTAAACTGTAGAGCTTTTTGTGTAAAACATAAAACTCCTCAAGTCATAATGCAAGGTCTCCTTTGATATCCAGTTCGCTGTTGTAACCATCTCAGAAAACACAGTTATATTCATTTGAATAAATAGTTATTTCACTATAAAATTATCTGAACCTACAATAGTATACTGAAGCTCTCTTTACATATCTGCAACTATTATCCAAATAAAAAGATGACCTTTTTTCTTTTTGAAATGGCTATAACGAAAAAGCTAGGCTTTTTCATTTTCATTGTTTTTAAAATTGTGGCCTTCATTTACTCGAATATGAAATTCAAAAAGCCAAACTAATGAATTAAAAAACTTTTTGGCTTTCATTTTTTCATATGTAGAATTAAAAAGTTACAAACCTGACCCTAGTCACTCTTGAAATTCCATAATAAACGAAGGATTCTAAATCATGGACCAACACATTTCCTTTTTTGATCAGGTAAAATATTTCATTGATAATATCAAGGCCATCTTGGAGTAACACATTTCCTTGAGCTATGAAAGCTTATGGCAACAACTTGATTCCAGATATATAGTTATAGAGATAAGTAGGAGCAAACATGGTGGATTTTAGAAAAAGCCATCACAGCTTACCTATTAAACGTTGTATCTAAAATGCCCCCACCTAAAACAAGGAATTTGACTATTCAAAATACTTTACGAAGAAGACACGTTTTAGACACAACTTTTACCTTGATATGACCATCATGTGCAATCAACAAATTGTCAGGCTTCAGATCTCGATGAACCACATGCTGAGAGTGCAAGTATTCCAGGGCAAGCACCTGGCACATCAGAACTTCAGATTTAGGAGTTTCACCATAGTGTACAGTACTTTTGAGAGCAAGACAGAGACATAGATACTCACAACTTCAGCTATATAAACACGAACGACTTCTTCATCTAAGCAGCCTAGATTTCTCAACAATGAATATAGGTCCCCACCATTCAAGTATTCCATCACAAGGTACAAATTTTCACGGCAAGTAAATGAGTAGAAGAAGCGAACCTAATGCAAAACAAAAACCGGTAAAAGAGGTATAATCTTATCTTCAGTAAAATGCTTTGCCATCTCAACATGCTCACCACAAAAGGATTGCGAACTGATATTAAGATATCACGTTCGGCCAAGATACTCTCAACAGCATTCTTGCGTATCATGTCTGCCTTCTTCAGGACCTGTAACTAAACATGTAAGTTGGACTGCCACAAAGAAGCAAGACATAGCATACCTAAGATTAGAACTTCACCACTAGGATAATCGCTACATCTTTAGGTTAAGACCATAACTCCATAAAATTCAAGAGTCTTCTCAACCTTCTTAAACTCTGTGTTGAGTCAAAACTAGACAAACAAATTGAAAAGGAGGGAGTATATCCTTATGTTATCGCGCACAGCCATGAGATGTCCTGTGGTTTTTAAGTTCAGGGTTTCGATCAGTTAGTACGTCTCCCGCTATGGAAATGAGAATACATCTTCTGTTTTGAAAGAGATTTGAGTTGTTGCCTCAAATTTTGTTGTTTACACTCTCTACCATCCCCTTAATACTAGTGAGGGAAGTTAAGTAGTCTGCTCCGAAAAGAATGAACTTTATTATATTTGTTAACTCACTTTAAACTTCCATTTTACCTTAATGACATACTTTTTCTATAAGATGAAGAAACCCTTAATAGCATACTCTTTTTTTTGAAACTTGGTAACTTTATATTATAACACAATAGTACATGGGCAGTACTAAACCTTATATACAGATGAACTCCAAAAACTCCACTATTCTAAATCTAAATTGAATCTAAAACATCAATTATAGAGACAGTTTCATTTGAGTATAACTGATTGCACCAAAAACATAACAACAAAATGCAGTTGAGTTTAACTTTCTGCATACTATTCTCTACGCTCTCAAAACACCTAGAATTTCTCTCTTTCCAGGTTGCCCACCAGATTGAAGCAGGGATAATTCTCCATCTCGTTCTGTCTTTAGCTAGCACTCCTGCCTCCTCCCAACTTTTTAGGGCTTCAGTAATTCTCCTAGGCATAGCCCAGGATATGCCTTTGAGACTCAAGAATACCCTCCATAATTGTTGAGTAAATTTGCAGTGTAGAAAAAGATGGTTAACAGTTTCTGATGTTTCTCCACAAAGAAAACACCTAGAACATAAGGTTATCCCCCTTTTCATAACATTATCCTGTGTCAAAGCTGCTTCCTTAGCTAGCAGCCATATAAAACATGAGACTTTATAAGGAATTCTGCCTTTCCAAATTTGTCTCCATGGCCAGATAGGAATCTGTTGACTTGGTTGCTCCATCAACCTGTAAGCTGCACCTACTTTAAATATACCTTTTTTTTTTTGAAACTTGGTAACTTTGTATTATAACACAATAGTACATGGGCAGTACTAAACCTTATATACAGATGAACTCCAAAAACTCCACTATTCTAAATCTAAATTGAATCTAGAACATCAATTATAGAGACAGTTTCATTTGAGTATAATTGATTGCACCAAAAACATAACAACAAAATGCAGTTGAGTTTAACTTTCTGCATACTATTCTCTACGCTCTCAAAACACCTAGAATTTCTCTCTTTCCAGGTTGCCCACCAGATTGAAGCAGGGATAATTCTCCATCTCGTTCTGTCTTTAGCTAGCACTCCTGCCTCCTCCCAACTTTTTAGGGCTTCAGTAATTCTCCTAGGCATAGCCCAGGATATGACTCCTTAATAGCATACTCGTGTAGCCATGAAAATGTCATCGCATTCTTTTTCTTCTAACAACTGAAAAATTCCGGAGTGCCAGTGTAAGGTTCGAAACTTAATGGATACGGGCATGATCCTCTACCGTTTTTCACTTAAATAATGGGGTTTTGTCGGAGCGAGATTTGAACTTGTGGCGTGCACCTAATCCACACATATGAGTTGCACTTACCACTACTAAGACACTTTGATCTAGTTTTTACCTGATCAAAAAAGTTAAAAAGGTACTTTGGTATGTATTAAAAGTCTTTAGGAGTCTTTTCGGAGGTAAGTTAATCATGTATTAAATCTTGCATAACTAATAACATGTTCGTCAACATTCATTTACTATGTTTAAAATTAATACATGTATAAGTTATGAGGGGATATATGTATTATTTTATGCAAGATAGAATATGAAATACTAACCAGCTACCAAACGACCCCTTATTTCTAAAATATTGTACCTGGTTAATACCTTCACATAAAATTATACCGACGGAGCACTATTTTGGCTCGCATTATGTCATTAGACAAAATTCATTATGTTGTACACTCTTTTCTAAAGGGAAAAGTCCTCCCAATCCTAGTAAAACACATTGTTGTTCTTCACTTCCCATAGAGGCATTAATAATGCCTCAATTAGAATTAAAGTAAATAATCATAAAAGGCCAAGGCATGTTTATATTTACTTGACTAGGATTTGAGGAGGTAAGGTAAGGTATTATATCTCCCTTCTTTATGTACTATGGGATATTCATATGAGACAGACATTAATGTCTTAACCCTCTGGCACCTCAAGGCGGATTCTTCAAAAAAAATTATAAAAAAACATATTGAAGTAGACTGCCTCATTCACAAACAATTGAGTCAAGATGTATCACTACTAGTCCAGTCAATTCAACTATCAGTTAGAAAACTTACAAAATCATTTCAAGGGCCTCGAATTGTTCATATATTTAAACAAGTTAAGTGGAAGCAATAATGCACACTTCAACTTGAGGGAGAGCTTTAAGAATGTAGATATATCAAGTTCTTTTTTATTATATATATGACATACCCCCAGAAACATAAACTTCCTCCTCAGGAGTCTGACGGGACACACATTTCCTGCATTTGTTCCCTTGGTGACTCGAATCAAGGTGGAGGTTAGTCTTTTTTTCATATAAGGGCTGGCTGGTCCTTATCACTAGGATATCCATCCACTGTAAAATTCATACATTGTAAATATGGAATGGATCCCGAACTCCCATTCCTGCTGTAAGGTGATTAGGAGAATTATAGGAATGTATTATATGGTTTTTTTTGTGAAGATTCATGTACACTCTGTTTAGTCCCCAATAATTTAAGGGAATAATCAAGTTGTGCATTATACAAGCTCCTCTTCTCTTCTCTATACAGGAGGAAGAGCAGAATGGTCTGGTTTCTTACTTGAAACCCGAGGCTAGAAACCTCCCTGAATTAGATGATGTCATAAGGAAACCAAGGGACATAATAAAAGAAGCATTTACCATGAAAGACAAAAATGGGAAATCTACAGTTAGAAATGGAGGAATCCCACCCCTCTTTCTGTAACCATACATAGACATCCTTATCAGAAAAGTACATATAATACACATGTCGATATCCAAATATAGTAAATTTATCACAGGTATAAATTGCCAAAAGCAATAGGAGATCGAGGTTTCATAAGCTCCTTTGGTAATTTTGTTTAAGTAATGTTGCAAGGTAACACAAAATTGTAATGTAATCCTTATATACGAACTCCCAAATATTACATGATATATCTGTTTGCTAGATATGAGACATGCACAGAAACAGATGTTAAAGATATGGAGCAAGGAACTCTCACTTAAAGACAGATATTGTTTTTCGTTTTCTCTTGGACTGGGACGAGGATGGTGGAAGGGGGCAAGCTAAAATCGCTTCAAAAAGGAAATCTGAATGATTCAAGGAATGTTGATCAATAAAACTCAAGCACCAAACTACTATAGTACCTTAATTGCAAAGAGATCTCCAGTTGTTCTCTTTTTTGCCAAGAAAACCCGACCAAATGCCCCACGACTAATTGGTTTGATAATCTCAAAGTCATCAATAGACGTACGATCTTTGGAATGAACTGGGCTAGTTCTCAAGCTACGTACGACATCGTCTTCCAAGGGAGCATCTTCATCAATGACAGTGCTCGTTAGATCAACTTTGTCATCATCAACTAGCTCACACAGTTGCAAATACTGTTCCCTGGACAGTTGTGAACTTAAGTCAAAGAAACTTTTTGAAGATAGAGCAGAAGGAAAAAAAAAAAAGCAAGATTCCTTCCTTTGTTTTCTCCCCTGAGCCCCCTCAACATTTCATGGTTCTTACTATTCATCATTTTCTTTTGAGAGTACCCCCAGCAGTATATGGATGTTAGAGTGGGTTAGAGTCTCAAATTGATTGGGTAATGGATTGGTGGTTGCTTCTATGGACTTTGGGCATCCTCCCCTCATGAGCTAGCTTTTGGGATGAGTTAGGTCAAGTTTAATATTTTACATGTATCAGATTCAAGTCCATCCCCGTTTGGGCTCCAGAGCCCCGCTCCAGTTGGGCCTGGATGTGAAGGGGGGGTGTTAGAGTTGGTTAAAGACCCACATTGGTTGGGAATCGGCTAATGGTCTACTTATATGGACATGGGCAATCCTCCACTCATGAGCTAGCTTTTGGGGCTAGATTAGTCCTAGGTGCCATATCTTTACAATGGATACAACACAAGAAAGGTCAAATTACCGAATCAGCTTTTCAATACGAGTTCCAAATGTTTCCACGGTAAGTGCATCTAACTTTCTGCGTTCAGTCACAACTTTTAAATCTTCAAGGCAAGAGAGCAAATAAGGCAAAGAGCGATCATCATCTATAGGTGTAGTCGCCACACATCGAGCAATATCGGCAAGTTCAATCATCTGTAATATTAAAAAAAGTAACACGAAACTGTCAATCCAAACCTCCAGGGGAATTATCAAAAGAGAAGAAGAACAAAGCATTAAAAGAAGTCAATACCAATTACCTGCATCTATTGAAGTCAACAGTTAAGCAAATTCATCCCTAATAGAATTAAAACCATCCATGAAATATAATTAAATAAAATGATGTATGCTTGAGTTGTATATTGAAATTGGGAAATAGAATGCAGCGTACACTAATCTTTTCACCTTTCGTCAATTTACCTGTCAAACAGAATTTTTTGGTATTGATAACCTCTTTAACTATTGTAGGAAATGCTATTTCATTAGTTTTTTGGGCAAAAAAAAATTGAGAGATCTCTGAAGAAGGAATACCCAACTTCTGGGGTCGGCTTCAATCATGAGGAGAACTCCACAAGCAAAATGGGAACTTAAAATGTTCCTTCCCCACAAGCCCGCAAGATCATAGTCAATGAAGTAAAACTAGAAATATGTGTATTCATTCCACTCTACTTGAAAAGGCACAAATATTCACAGCGCCACAAAGATCAGTCTATGAGGTAATATTAGAAATCTGGTAATGTATCACTCCTATATATGATTATCGTAACGTGGAGGAGAGATGAAGGAAAAATGCAAAAGAAGAAGGAAGTATTTTCATCACTGAGGCCATACAAATTGAACATTCCAGAAGCTTAACAGTCCAGAAGGTGATAGAGACCAACAGTTGGATTAGGCAATTGAGGTTTCCTCATGCTATAATTCAAGGACTATCATCAGAAAGGTCTCGAGGAGTAGTTAAGAAGGCAGGAGGTAATAGCAGAATTTTGTTAGAATTGATGAACCTAATTCTTATGTACCCGATCTAACGTCCTCTTTCTCATGTGCCCTCTCTCTACTTCTCACTTTTCTTCCCTTTCTGTTCTATCAGTACTCACTCTCTTCTACCTTCCCTCCCTAGCCGAATGCTATAGTTCTTTCGTACATTACCTTCCGTTGTTTAAAAAAAAAAAAACACAAAAAAATGGAAAATTAAAAATTATTATATCTTCCTTAATGGTATTTGGGCTGCTAACGTGGAGTCTTCGATAACTGACCAACCGGCGGAAGCATGACCAAACCCATTGAAACCCAGCAGTGAGCCCAGTACAATTAAGCAGACTCCTTTTCTTGTTCATGATTCTCTTTGTTATTCTCTATTCTTCTTTCATTCCCCATTCTTCTTCCTTTTATGCTTTCAACCCGGCAGCATGAGAAGGAGAGTGTTTTTTGAGCACAGTACTATAACCAGAGTACTTTCTTGTTCATGTTCTTTATTATTCTTCTTTAAATTTTCCTCCTTTCATACCTCACTATGCTGTCATGCAGTGCAGCATGAGAGGAAAGATACAAATATGATTAATGGTTGAGGGGGTAGAAGGTGGAGGAAAAGGAGAAGAAGAAAAACTAGCACCAGTAAAATCTTTTTGTGGGAAAGGAAAAGAAAAAAGGGGGAAAAGAATTTAACAACTCCATAAGTGAAACCTAACAGAAAGGTGTAAGCTGCAACCTTCTATAAAGTTCAATGGAGAGAATGCCGCCAAAAACAGTTTCATGGCAAAGTTGCCAAAATGCTAAAAACTTTTGAGGCTGCTGGATCAATTTACATTATAACGTCATCAACCTTCTACAAGAAGAACAAGCTTCTCAACCTAAAGGGAAACAAAATCTGTGACTGAACCAAGAGAAAAGAGCACAATTTTTAAAATTTAAATTCATATTATTCACATTACATAACATTTTTAAGAAAGACTACATCTACCAACATATCCACAACCAAAGAAAATACATGCAAGTGCATGCAAACTCTGCTAGCAGCACAGAGCTCTTTAAGTCGTATCCCCAAAAAAGAAGTGAACTGAGAGGCAAACATACTGAAGAATCATAGTAGTATCTACCTGAGGAAGATCATCATGCTCAGAGGCACAACCTTTTCCTGCCAATAGTAGGTCGATTGGGCTGGTCTTTGGCGTCAGCAAGGGGGACCTAGGTGTCATGCTGCCAGCAGATGATGTTGTCATCCCCTGATCGGATTTAGGTCCAAACCGGGTTCTACATGACATAGAAGGTAAACTTTTAAGTTCATCCATGAAAACAGAATTATCCACCTCAGGAAGACAGTCAAGCATATCCTCTGAACCTCTGCAAGACCCGTCACTAAGTTTTGGAGAGAGAAGTTCAGATTCCTCAGTTAAAATACAGTTTGATACTTTTGCACCATCTGGACTTCCAACAGCATGCGGGATGTCCTTATGTGCAAATGACTCCATGAGCTTCTCAAGAGTATCTGCAACCCTTAACAAGCGTTCATTAACACTTAGACTTTTTTGATCACAGCGATCAGCAATTGCACAAATTCTGGAGTGGTCTTCTACATGTAATGTAGGGACCTCCTCCTCACAAATGCGACATATTATTGAACTCTCATCAGAAACACTTGGTTGATCACACCAGTAACCCCAGGAAACATTACGTTGGTGTTTGGAAGGAGGAACTGAAGAGTGTGCAAGTGAATCCCTAGCAGAAGAAAGATCAGGATGCTTGACAGTAGCTAGATCTGAAGCAGACGGTCCTTTTTCATCACTAAATAGTTTTGAAGCTTCAATGCCTATATCAATGTTCTCCTCCTTGATTGGAGATGCTTCTTTGGGACTTTTAGCAGGTGGAGTTGGAAATTTCTTCCAAGATGCCATTCGATTCCTACTGCCCGGAGAATCCAATGTTTTTGCAGTTTCAGCTTCCGAGGTCGGAAGGTTACCTAGCTGTACAGCTTGATCTCTCTTCCATTCAGAGCCATGTTGTTCCTGACTGTAAGATTTTTTTGTATGAGGCAACTTTGGGAACTTCAGAGGACCAGACATCTTTCCATCTCTCCGTCTTTCAACGGGCTGCAATGATTGACGAAGCTGAAACAGAGGTTCATCCTCAGCAAATCCACTTTCTTTGTGAAACTGAAGCAAACGTGTGCACCTTGTAAGTATAAAAAGCATTCTAGTGTGCAGCTGCTTTAGTGTACCCATGGGGAGTTCCTGCCGTCTATCATCCAGTTCCTGAACGATGCCCTCACACTGAAGCCAAAATTCCCCAGGAGATGTCATTGCACATCTTCGAGCCAAAACCAGCAGATCTTCAATTGTTTCCTGCCAATCTGGATGAGTTTCTGCATTTTTTTCTAGAACCCCAACCAGATCTGCTGCGAAAACACGCAAATCATTATCCACTTCCTCCTTTGCTTTGTCAAACTTTGCTCTAATCATCGTTAAAACCTCCTGTTGAAATCGCAATATACTGATCAACACTTGCAAAAAGAACACTGATCATTTACAAACTTCAAGAACATAGCGAAAAGGTTGAATTTTACCTCCAAATTATTCAAACCTCGAGGTTTCCAGAATGGAAAAGGCCGTACACCTTTGGAGTTCAGTTCATGCGAAAAACTTTTTATATCTGCAGGAAACCGTTTCCTTGGAGCACTAGTCACCCGGAGTAAAGCTTGAAAGCGCGGAGATTCAGACTCCTTTGGGTTGTCGCATTCTAAAGATGTCTAGAAAGTACATCTAGCATTAGAGTAAGAATAATGCAATAGCAAGAGAAGAATCAATTAATGCAACAGCTTAATCCTCTGTACCTTCAATTCTGGAGTACAAGCATCTGAGCTCCTCAGACCTCCAGAGTAGCCCCAAGATGAACTGACTCGGCCTGCATAACGATCAAAACATTAGAAAGCATAACAAAACTTACACCTCAAGCAACCACGTGAACTTCACTAGTGCAGTCCACATATATATCTTGATATCTCTCAAAACAACTAAATGCAACAGAAGTCTTTATAATTACAAATAAAGTAGAAGTTAAATTCTAGGATGATATCATCCATTGCCCTCAAAAGCACAATTTGCATAAACCAAACTTTCAAAGGCCAAGCATATTCATCAGAGTTCCCAGAACACATAACTAAGCCAGTGACTTCTTAGCAGTCCCACAAATAGCTCTTTTTTAAGCTGAATGAAAGAAAAGGAAGAACGCTTGTTGGCCTTGGCCAGATTTCCGCAAAAAATATTGCATATAGTTAAGAGCAAAGCCAGGTTATCCCAAAAAAAAAATGGTAAGAGCAAAGCCATTCATACAATTCCTAGACTGCTTGCTGCTATAGAGGAGAACTAGCTCTTACTGGACTTCGGTTGTTAAATGCACAATGATCAATTTACATATCTGTCCATAAATGCACTGCTAAATACTTAGTAGAAAAAGGTAATCAACATTCAAGCTTCCCTAGAAAGGGAGCCCCGATGCATAAGGTACAACTAGTTAAAATAGTGAAGAACTACTTCCATGATACTGTTTGGACGGAGAAACATAGGATTACCAGACTTATCAATAGGAAAAGCGAGAGAGAGAGAGAGAGAGAAACCAGCCATGTTTGTCCTTTATCAAACCAATGCCAATTTCTCGTCAGAGTTGTATCTATAGGAAACAAATATAACTTTGCATATGACTTCTCAAACTTTATAAATCACGCCTACTAATGGAGATTCAGTATGCTGCAGGGCGAAAGAGAACAGGTCCTTGGGAACAGAAGAGATTTTTGGTAGAGCCTACTAAAGACAATAAAATAACAAATAAGGAACAAATACGAGAGAAGAATGCAAAGCTTTTAGCACTATTTAATCAAGGCAATGGTGTTTTTCCAATGCTTCCTGCTTCTTTGGGTATCACAGAAGACTAGGAAAAACACCGAATTTGGATAAACATGCAAACCAGTGTAACTATGAAATTAATCCTAAAAATTAAAAACAATAATGTATTAATCTAATGACAATAAAATAAAAAATATGGAACAAATACAAGAGAAGAATACAAAAGCTTTTAGCACTATTTAATCATGGCAATGGTGTTTTTCCAGTGCTTCCTGGTTCTTTGGGTATCACAGAAGACTAGGAAAAACACCAAATATGGATAAACATGCAAACTAGTGTAACTATGAAATTCAAAAAATTAAAAACAAAAATGTATTAATCTAAACTCAACATGCAGTTATTACTTTTGGATGATAATTCCATGCACCTAAAAGGTGAAATGTACTGAGCATCACTGTTCAGCCAATGCTTCACTCCTAACTTTGTCATGCATCTTTGACTGTGTCATCATTCTACAGGGACAATTGAGACCTGCGAGGTTAACTATTTTATGTTTTCTTATTACTATTATGTATGCATAATTTAAAAGAGACATTATGCATGCTAAATTTCTTAAACTATTGATACAGGTGTTTTATTGGTTCGTTTATTTCCTTTTATCCAGAGAACTAGGGAACAAGTGCCAAAACAGAAGCCAAAAATATTCATAGCCATCATTTCAATTTTACCATACAGTTTTATTGGGTGTTATCACTTATGATGGCACAGGGGTGGGGCACCATGAAAGCCACTTAAAATATCAAGAACGTGGGCAGGACCGTATTCAATGGCACAGCTGGGGTGAATACCGTCAAGGAGACACGCATGGGAAAGCCCATCGCTGCTCACAAGAGAGACAGCACAGGGCAAGATGCGACGCAGCACTCAACCAAGAACCGACCACAGCAGAGCAGCCTGTGCAATCAGCCAAGAGCGACAGGGCTGTGTTGGTTCACAGAAAAGGCTACCCCGTCCACTTAGCCACTGATTGTAATAGGTTTGAAGATCTTTTCATGTATATGACCATTCTA